ATCACACAGGCAGAGTGGAGAGGAAGTGGCCAGGACTTTGGCACCGCGTGGCCTGGCCTGAGTACTGGCTCTACCCCTCCGTGTTGGACCTGGGGCCAGATGGCCCCCATGGGGCCTCTGTCACATGGAGACCACCACAGCCCCTGGCTCCCAGAACTAATGAGGACCAAGTGCTTGGAGCAATGGCTGGCACGCATCACAGTACCACTGCTCTGTCATCCCCAAATGCTTGGCTGGTGAAGGTTTTACAGATGGGAAACTGAGGCCAGGGTGGGCCCTGGGCAGGCAGGATCTAGCATCCTGGCTGCTCCGCAGACCAGAGGAGACATCTGGAGCCCACAGCCTGGCGCCCGACTCCAGGTGACACAATGGCAGCCCCAAATTCCAGCTGTGCGGCCTCCTTCCTGTCTCCATCCCCTCACGGCGGCTGTGTCCAGCCCATCTGGCCAGGAGCCCCTTCCTGCCAGAGGCCTCGCCTTTGGGTCATCCTGGCCAGTCCACAGATGTCCTTGCCTCTGGGCCAGGCACTGGCTTCATGGCTGTCCTCAGTTTCCCTGTAGGTACTCCTACCAGTGCAGCTCTGCCTGTGGGGCTCTGGAAACATTTGCTGAATGGATGCTTAAGAGAATACATGAATGAATGGCTTGGGAAAATCACTTAGACCTTGAACAAGCTAGAGGTGCCTCCCTCCTGGGACCACGGATCCCCTGGGTGCCAACGCAGCCCCCAGCCCCTGAACTAATTGGCTCCTGCCCTAGAGATGAGAAGATACCATGCCTCCCCACTGGTCTCTGGCTTGCTTCTTCCCTGGCTTGGGCCCCTCCCTTTCAACTCAGACCCCTGCTGAGCCGTGCGCTGCCCCAGGGTCTTTGCGTAGCACCTTGAATATTCCTCTTCACTGTCACACTGTAGCCTATCTCCTGGGTGCTGCCTTCTCAGACATCTTCCCTCACACTGACACAGGGGCTTATTCCCCTCACTTCAGCATCTGTTCCCTTTGTCATAAATTTTGAATTTGCTAGCTCTGCTTTTGTTGGCTTTATCTCCCAGGCTTCATAGCAAGTTCCAGGGATTCCCTGCATCTGGAGCAGGGATTTGTGTCAAATTGAATAGTAGAACCAAGACCCATCTGAATCCTCTAAGCAACAGGCAGCTCACTATCTCCCAGGAGCAGCCTTCCCCCTGACAACAGGAAGCAAGTTCCAGAAAGGACTTAGAGCTTCTCCTCCCCTGCCTCCCTGTCTCTGGCCCACATCTAGGGACTGGAGGGAGCCGTGCTCCCTGACACCTTTTGGAGGCCCAAGGGTGTCAGCAGCAGTTGGCCAGGGCAGCCCTGCTCCCTGGAGCTGAGTCTGGTGGGGAGGGTGCCTTTTCTGCCTTGTGGAGTTTGCAAAGGGGAAATGCAGCTGCCTGGTGAGGTCATACCTTTCTTTTTTTTTTTTTTTTGCTGAACTGGGGATTGAACTCAGGCCCTTGCACTTGCCAGGGAAGCGCTTATTCCACTGAGCCATCTCCCCGGCCCTCGAGGTCATACCTTTCAAGTTGCATCCTCAACTCTCAGAGCCCCTGGCTGACCCAAGAGGCCCGGCTCTGTGCATGCTCACGACAAAGGCTCAGATGCAACTGTGACTACAGGAGGGGTGGGAAGGCGGGTGGAGTGGGGCAGAGCCATCTGCTGACATCTGGCCTGGAAGGGACAGAGATGATTTCTGCAGATGGTGCAGGCTCCGGGGTGCAGGCTGCACCAGGCTTAGGGACAGATGTGGTGGCTGGATTTGAAGGAAGAACTGGGAATCCAGCCAGATGAGAAAGTAGCCAGGTGGTAGGGGTGGGGTTGTGCAGGAGTCCTGAGCCATCCTGAACTGAGGGTGTGAACTCCAGGGCCTCAGGAGCCCTTCCCCATACCAGGCCTGAGCCAGGAAGGCCCACGGTGACACAAATTGCCAGCCATGGGCTACTATGTGACCCGAGCCCACGAAGGTCCTTGGGGTGTGATGCGGCCCTGGAGGGGGGCCTTGGTTCTGCATGCACAAGCATGGACAGGAGCCACATGATAGGCTGGGCCAGGACGCAGCGGAGGTGGGCAGGGGGCTTGGCATCTCCCAGAAGGAGAGCAGTAATAAACCCTGGTGTGGAGCTCAGGAGAGCAGGAGATAAGAGTGCTGCGCCATCCATGAGGACCTTCAGCTCGGAGCTGCAGACACCTGGGGACCAAGCTGAGATATACACATAAAACTGAGTTTTGTACATGCAATACAAAGAAATGAAAAATGTCTCATTAATAGTGCTTCTGTTGAGCACATGTTAAAATGATAATGATTTTGATGCCTTGCGTTAAATAAAATCTGCAATCAAATTGGGTTTTTGGGCAGCAGCCAAATAGCCCAGTGGATTAAAGCGCCTGCAAGCAGGCACAGGGGCTGGGGGTTCAATCCCCAACCTGCCATGCTGGTCCCACCCCCTGGGTGTGCTGAGATGGTAATTTTTTCCCCATAATTTTATTGATAAACAAATAGCAATGAGACAGTTTCAAATCAAATTGGTCGGACAGTTTCAATAATTAACACATTGCTGGGGGCCGGGGAGATGGCTCAGTGGAATAAGCACTTGCCTGGCAAGCGCAAGGGCCTGAGTTCAATCCCCGGTTCTACCAAAAAAAAAAAAA